ACTAAAAAGCAGGACTTGAGAGACCCTTGATGTTTATAATGTGAGTTTCTACCTAGGGAAGAGATGGCTTGCCATGTGCCAGATAAGTTCCTTTCATCCTCATTACAATTCTAGGATTTAGTTACTCCTATTAGCCTCATTTTACAGATGAGGAAAAAGAAAAACAGTCTGAGCAACTATCTGAACACAACCTGATAGTGAGGAGTTGCTTAGTCATCACCCTGGCGTTGACACTACTTTTCCCCAATAGAGGTGAGTTTAATTTTAACAAAGCAAAATAAAATGTCCAATTAAAAGAAGTCTACCACATACTCTCTCAGAGGAAGGAAACTTAAGATATTAATAAAGCGGGGGTGGGGGGAATAGAGACAGAAAAAGAAGGCTACTGTACTTAAGTACATCTTGTATCTGTGGATTAGAAGACTTAATGTTGTTCCAATAGTAATACTACCCAAGGTGATTTACAGATTCATTGAAATCGCTCTAAAATCCAACAACGTTTTATGCAAGAATAGAAAAACCCATCCTAAAATTCGTATAGAATCTCAAGGGACCCAAACACCTGAAATAATCTTGAAAAAGAATAAGGCTGGAGAACTCACATTTCTTGACTTCACAATGTACTTCAGTGTTAGAGTAATCAATACAGTGTGGTGCTGGCATAAAGAGGGACATATAAACCCATGGAATAGAATCGAGAACCCAGAAACAAACACTCATATATATGGTCAAATGGTTTTTGATGGTTGCCAAGACATTCAAGGGAGAAAGGACATTCTTTTCAACAAATAGTACTCAGAACACTGGCCATCCACATGCAGAAGAATAAAGTGTTAGATGCTTTACCTTACACCATATACAAAAATTAACTCAAAATGCATTAAATGCCTAAATGTAAGAGCTAACACTATTACACTCTTAGAAGAAAGCAGAGGGGAAAACATTCATGACTTTAGATTTTGCAATGATTTCTTGGTTGTGGAAAAAAAAGGCGTAAGCAATAAACAAACTGGACTTCAGAAAAAGAGTGGAACAAAAGTAAGCTTGTGGTTGGGAGAATGAGAAACACAGAGTTTAATCTTGTATTATTATTTATTATTTTCCATAAAACAACTGTAAACCTACTTTTGCCCCACCCTATAAAATCCTTTGATGCCAAAGGAGACTATCAACAGAGTGAAAAGGCAACGTGTAGAATAGTAGGAGACATTTACAAATCATATATATGATAAGGGACTGATATCCAAATATATAAGGAACACCTATAGCTCAGCAACAAAACACAAATTTAAAACTCAATTAAAAAAACTTGAATAAACAATTTCTCAAAATGGCCAATAAGCACATGAAAAGATACTTAATATCACTGATTATTAGGGAAATACAATAAAAACTATAATGAGGTACTACTTTACACCATTAGGATGGCTATTATAAAAACAAACAAAAGCAAAACAGAAAATAACAAGTGTTAGTGAGGAAGAGGAGCAATTGGAAATATTTTGCATTGCTGGTTTGGTGGGAATGTAAAATGGCACAGTCAATGTGGAAGACTGTATGGTGGTTCATCAAAAACTAAACATCTAATTACCATACTATCAAGCAATTCTATATCCAGGCATATGCCCAAGAGAATTGAAAACAAGGACTTAAACAGATATTTGTACACCAATGTTTATGGCAGCATTATTTACAATAGCTGAAGTTGGAAATAACTAATTGAAGGAGAAACATATAAACAAGTTGTGATATATACATGGAATAGAAGATCATTCAGTCTTAAAAAGGAAGGAAATTCTGATAACTGTCACAACATGGACAAACCTCAAAAACGTTATGTTAAGTGAAATAAGCCAGATGCAGAAAAACAAATATTGTATGATTCCATTATTTGAGTTGTTTAGAATAGCCAGATTCATGAAGATAGAAAGTAGAATGATGGTTACCAGGAGAAGGAGGGAAGTGAGAATAGGGAGTTATTATTTAATGGGTACAGAGTTTGGGATGATAAAAAAGCTCTGGAAGTAAATAATGTTGATAGTTGCACAACAGTGTGAATGTTCTTTATGCCTTATTATACACTTAATCATGGTTATAATGAAATATTTTATGTTATATATATTATCCCACAATTTAAAGCATCTTTCATGAGCAAGAAGAAAAATATCAAGATTAATTTTATCAATAATATTTCTTGATTTTGATCATTATACTGTTTGTAAAAAATGAAAATGTGAATCTTAGGGATTAAAATATTAAAAAGTATTTTAAATTTTTTAAAAGCAGAATTTATTTTAAATTTCTTACAGTCCTCTTACTTTAGAATGAGAATTAAAAGAATAACAATTACCATTAAATTCTTTTTTTTTTCTATTACTACCTTTTCTTCTGTGGGCTTCCTCACTCTTTCTTCCTTTATTTCATTCTGGTTTCTTTATATCTCCAAAGTTTACACTCAAGAACCTGATATTTCCAGGTCCTTCTTAATCCTAGAACTTGTGATCTGGGCACAATTATATACTGTTCCAGTGGCAGCTCTCCGATGGTTACCAGGGACACCAGCTTCAGGACAATGCAAATGCTAATTATGGAGAGAGACAGACAAAACCTGGGGCCCTAACGATGTTGTTGAGCTGCTGAATCAACCATCCCTAAATCCTGTGCATCCTAGGACTTCTGTCATGTGAGCTAATAGATTTCCATGTTTGTATATTTGATAGGGCCTTTCTGCAATGTTCAGCCTAATGCATCCTGACTGATTCAGACCCATTTTTGGTGAAAGATTGGGATAAATTTTGATCAAGCTTTGGAGGATGAGCTGCTCATCAGGGAGAAGGTGGGGAAGAATAGCCCAGGTGAGGGAAAGGTGTGGGCAAAGACACACATATGTAATGTGTGCTTGGTGTGCTTGGGGGACTCCAGTGAGGTGGGAGTAAAGACAGCTGGGGTTAGGTAATCAGAGATGAAGTAGACAGGCTGGAACCTGGTTCTTGAAGGAAGTAGAATATTTCCTTGTGAACAGTGGAGAAACATCAAAGGTTTAATCAGAGACATGACGTGACCAGATCAGTCTGAGCATGTACATAGTCCCCACTCTTCCTTTCTAGAACTCTAGCAATGGGAGCACAAGAAAGACAGAACAAGGGGCAGGAGGGGGCCAATGTAAGTGAATTTAATGCCCTGCTTCCCTATAACCTTGCACATATAGTATACTAACACACGCATATGTAGAAACTTATATATATATCTGTGTGTGAATATGTGCATATATACAGAGAGAGAATGCATCTTTGGATTATCTTATATATATAATTCAATTCCTGGTTGGTTGTTTATAATGATCTCAAAGTAAGAATCTATAAGCAAGTGCTGTTGTTACTCTCACAAGAATCTTCCTGATTCCATAATGGAAAATCACTGATCTCTGAGCTGTGAGTTCTGGATCTTGATGCCATTTTTATTACTGTTTGATGTTAGAATTTTATGTAAAATTCTACATAAAATTTCCCCTTACTTACAGTGAGTTATCTAGGTTAGATGATCTCTAGGTCTAAAGTATGTTAAACATCATATGACTTCATAGTGGCTTTCTTTCCTAATTCCTCCCTCCTTCCTTTCCTCCCTCTCTTTCTTCTCTCACTCTCTCTTGGCATTTTCCATTAGGAATTTCTTTGAGACTCTGAATTCTGAGTCACCTCAGAAAAATTCACATATACTCTATATCATGTAGAAATGTGTTGAACTACACGTAATAGAATACAGCAGTTACAAGAGGCATAAACACATGTGGGTGTATTTTACTCCCGTTACAAGAAGTCTGAAGGTAAAAGATTGCTGTCATTGTGTGTTGGTTAATTTTGTGTTTTAACTTGACTTGGCTAAGGGATGCCCAGATAGCTGGTAAACATTATTTTGAGGTGTGCCTATGAGGATGTTTCCTGGAGGGATTAGCATGTGAATTCTTGGACTGGGTGAAGAACATTGCCCTTATCAATGCATCATCCAATCTGTTGAGGGCTTGGATAGGATAAAAAGGTAGAGGAAAGAAGAATTTATTCTCTCTTCTTGAGCTAAAACATCCATCTTTTCCTGCCATCAGACATGGAGTTCTTGGATTTTAGACCTTTGGATTCAGCCTAAATTATACCACCGGCTTTCCTGGCCCTCCAGCTTGTAGGTCATGGAACTTGATAATCACATGAGTCAATTTCTATAATAAATATCCTCATATATATCCCATTGGTTCTGTTTCTCTGAAAAGCCTTATAGACATTGGTTCAGGACCTTGACCACATCCAGGCCAGCATTCCTGAAATTGTGGCATTTCTGTCATATTTGTCCTCTTGGATGTAAAATGTCTGATACAAAAGGGAATTGTTGCACCAGGAGCAGCTGCTCCCTTTCACCAGAAAGGCAAAAATTTTTCTAGCGCCATCTCTTCTTCCTCCCCCACAGCGTCCCTCCACCTACATTCCAATGTCCAGAGAGTTGCACGTGGCCACCTCAGTATCAAGGGAGTCTGCCAGAGATTTATGAACTTGACTTTGCATACCATTGAGGGGATTCAAACATGTTTAAAAACCCATTATGGTATCCAGCTTCACAATTCCTGACTTAAAAAGTGGTTCACACTATTTCTGACCCTCAGATCCTCACTCCTCAAACTGAAATCTGAACAGATTTCTAGTAATCTAGTTCGAAGCAGCAACTTGTTTAAAGGCCAGAAAATCAAGTGAGATAATGTATTATAAATGTGTTTTGCAAACTGTGAAGTTCTGCTTAAAATGAAGACATACTTCTATTGTGAAGATTTCCTTCATGACTTATGTATGGATCAAGAATCTTGGTTTCCATTTGCATCTTATGTTTGTGTATGTGTATGTGAATGTAAATAAAAAAAGTAAAGTAACATGCAAGGAAAAACATGAGGAAATCAGTGCCAGAAACACACAGAAAACATTTTATTAGTTTCCAGATTGAGAAATGATGAAGAACTTACTTCAGTAGAAATCTACAGCCCTCCTCATCGAGCCCACTCTGGCTCTTGTGGCCCCCCAGTCGTGGTAGCGCCTGTAGTCTCCAGGCCTCAGCAGGTACTGCTGCCCCCGGTAGTTGGGCATCTCATAGAGGACCCAGGAGCCCTCCAGCACGCGGAGGGAGTAAATGTCACCAGAGTGGAAGAGGTCCTGGAGAGAGGCGCAGTCCTCAGTCAGCTCCACCATCTGGCCTCCGTAATCTTCCCGCTCGTAAAGTCTGATCCTGTGAGAGCCAGCCTGGCCCATCTGGAGAGAGAAAGAGAAGAAACGCAAGCCATGAAATGATTCCAACACATTCGTGCAGTCCACTTTGATGGAGACCAGCTCAAGCCATTTGGAAATATATGGTGAAAATTAATCAATTCTGAATATTTATATACTCCTCATTTTCCAAGGCGGAGATTCAGCACTGTTTCAAGATCATAAAGTGTGACGTAAGGAATTTAAAGGGAAATATCACTCTTTAGTACATTCAAATATTTCCCAGGACAAACTGGTAACCATGGTAATCACACTAACCCGTACACCATACCACAGAAAAACCCAGACTTTTAACGGCTTATTGCTATTTTTGACATTTTGAAGAAATATTTTTAATTTTTCAAGGACATGTGTTTGAAAAATAAAGTCAGTTTATGAAATGAATGACATTGCACTGAGTTTAAAATAAATCTTGGAAAGATCACCAAGAGCTTGGATATTTCTGTTGAAAGCATTGCTAAACATCATGTCTTAGACAATAATGGATCCGCATTTAATAATTTATAAACAGAATGAGGAAAATGGAAAAGAAAATCAAAGACTAATTTTCAAAAACCTTAGTCCTTAAAAAGATGTTAATAAAAATATGTGTGGTACATGTATAAAATCTCTGCGTTTACCACTGAGAGAAAATACTTGTATTTGTATTCATATGCAAGCAGAGGGAAAAAAGGAAAGTCTTTTAGAAATGATCGTTGTAAAAGTTTTTTTTTTTTTCAACTCCTCCTGTGCGCAGTAACTACTCTATGTTCCAGCACTTAATTTTTCTCCTATTAAAGTGTTTTTTCTACAACTCCATTGTAAATTATGACAGACCAGGACCTCTATTTTATACCCGCCCAGAGCAGCCAACATATTCTTGCTCAATAAATATTTGTTGATTAATTAGTACCTGGGTAACACTTTGCTTTTTGTTCAGGTAAAACGATTTTGAATGAATCTATCATTGCGCATCTTTTGTCCAAACTCTGAATTTTTCTATATGATCCCTACTCCAAATATTTAACCTTTGCATTGAAACTATCCATGTGTCCATAGAGCCCATTCCTGATATAGTTCTGGGACTCACGTGGGGGATGAGGCGGCAAGAGCGCACGGAGTCGCTGAGGCCCAGCCACGGCTGGTACTCAGAATAGTCGCCGCGCCGCAGGAAGTGCTGGCGGCCCTGGAAGTTGGGGCGCTCATAGAGCATCCAGCAGCCGCTGTCCACGCGGATGGAGTTGCAGCGGCTGATGTAGGGCTGCAGGTTGGAGTGGTCGCTGCTGCACTCATAGCGGTGGCCCTGGAAGCCGCGGTCCTCGTAGAAGGTGATCTGCAAGGAAGGGAATGAGAGGCTCAGAGGCCTGGGCCCCGCCCCCGCCGACCGAGGCCCCCGCCGGCCTGGGCGCTGGGCTCACCTTCCCCATGGCTGGTGGACAAGGACGGTGCGGATGGGCGCAGCGTCGCGGGTCTATATAGCAGGCCGGCTGCTGCGTTAGCAGGAACAACACAAAAGGGGCCCGGGATGATGAAGGGATTTTCATGTTCTCTTTTTTTCTCTTTGCTGTCCTAGTCCATGGGACTCATTGTGGGTTTTGGTCTCATTGTCTCTGAAGTATTTGGGTTGCTATCACTGGTTGATTCTATTGAGACTGTTTGGGGAAAAAAAGTCTTTTGGGACATTGTCTATTTAATAATAGAGGTAGAGCTTCAACCATTTCACATATACTCCGCCCCGTTATTTGTATAGGTTGGGGAAAAACAAAAACGTGTGAGTGGGGAGCAAAAAAAGCAGGGTCTTAATATGGTAAATATAAAATAAAAAAACAAAATAATCTGTAAGAACAATCATATTACTTAAGTGTCACAACACTGACTACTAATTGTTACTCAGAAGAAAATGACCTTAACTGAATGTTGAGAATTCCAAATTAGTCCTTTAAGAGAACTTCCTCATTAATGGATGTAAGAAATTGGAATGTTTACCAAGGGAGTCCACAGATTTTCAAACTCTAAGGATGGTAAACAAACAAACAATACCACAAAACTCAACAAGCACAGCTCTTCAGGGTTTACTCTGGCTCTGACTTTGTTGCAGTCCTGCCTGGAAGTAGACTGAGGATTAGACGTTTCATCTTGGCTAATTGTGACTCAAAAGGGAGAATAGCTTTAAAACGCTTAATCTCAGAAAGAAGAACTAAAAGAGAAATAAAAGGAAATAAGAAAAAGTTATACCTTTAAAACAAAACCAACCAACCAACCAAAAAGACAGATGTCCTCTTAGGTTATTATAAAATAAAAACTAAATACCTGAGAAACCCTTTCTCAGAGGATCTACATGCACCTTTGTTCTCTGGGGAACAAGAGGACACAAAGCTTTGACTTAGAGGAAATTAATGACTTGAAGATGAAGAGGAGTTTGAGTTGGGAGGGGGCAGGGAGAGGGAGAAATGAATGTCCAGAGGCTGGAACTCTAGGAAGACTTTAGGAAGTAATAATTGGCCTGGAAATGAAGGGTTTGATGGACCGGAAAGACCAATGGAGTAGAAGATAACCAATGCCTTTATTTAGCTGCTTTCACGCTCAAAAAATTATTCACAATCCTGTGTTGTCTCTTGAAAGTACTTTGTCTTGACTGAGGTCATAAATCTTTTTAAGTTGAAATCTATGAATTAAACACCAACTATGTACAATATGCCAAGTTCTGTTCTTATTATTCGCTGTGTAAATGCATCCGTTTCCAAAGCTGCTTATGTTTACATAATGAAAAATAAGCAGCTGGAATCTAAAGAATAAAAATCATCATTTTAATTTAAAAATTTAGAAAACAATAATTTTTAAAATAAATTTTAAAAAGCAATCATTTTGCTCAGAGCTGTTTCTGTGGGGAAAATGTTGGTTGATGAAAACATTAAAATATGAGAGAGAACCAAATGCAAAGAGAGCTTAGAGAAGAACATGGTGGGAGCTGATGTGCTTAGAACAGAAATTTAGAATATAACTGGGGGACTGAAACAAGGGACTTTGGGCTTGGTTTTTTCATTCACTAGGAAGAAAAAAGTCTTTATTTCAGCCCAGGAGAAAAACCAGGGGAAAAACCCTACACCCCTCATAGAACTGAAAGTGAATAACTTGAACTAAAATGTAGGTTGGTATCAATTCTCTGTAGAAAATTCTGGGAATAAGAAATGTGAGCTAGACCCAAGCGCCAAGTTGTTCTTAATGTGCAAAGTGAACATAAGTTAAGACCTGAGAATCCTTACACCTGTAGCACAGAAGCAGAGCTCCATACAAGTCACCAAGAATGACTAATGGGGACTCTCTTTGGAGGGAGAGCAAAAGATAAGGAATAAGAAGTAACCCTTAGTCACTCCTTCAACATTCTGGTGGCTTCAAACAAAAGCGAAGGAAAAAGAGACTAGTTCAGGTTAGGATTTTGCTTCATGGAGGGTTAATAGTTTGCATAGCTGAAGTAAATGTCAGTCTACAAAATGAAATGTGTAAGAAATAGTACTTTCTTATTTTCTATAACTCAAAATATTTTAGGAATCTAAGTGTTATTTCACTGGGAAGGAGAGAAAATTTAATGCTAGTTATTGTTGGGTTTCCTCTCCTCACTCCCCCACCCTCCATGGTTGGTTTCTGTGGGCTTAACATGAAACCAGGGAATTTCATGGGGTTAGAAGATTCATTGGGGACTACTTTTATGTTCACTGTTGGTGGCTGTCCCCAGTTTTCAACCAGTATGGAAATGAGAACTGACAACCCTGAGGGCTGTGGATCTGAGGTTTATTTGGTTAGCACAGTGTTTAGATTTTTGTTGGTAATGTTTTAGTTTAGTTCACATTTTCCATAGTTCACAACACTCCTCATCACTCCTTGTTGTCTTAGAAGAGGTTGTTTCACTTATTTACATCATTGGCCTGGCCCCTGATGGCATTGAGTGGCAAACTCAAATGAGTGTTTCCGAACTCTACTCAGTTCCTATCAGTTTTTATGATTTTTAAAAAAACTATACACTGATATTCTCAAACATTCTTTCTTGGTCTGAACCATACTTTATGAGGAACTTGAGTATTTGGGGGTTAAAATCTCCTTTTGTAAACGTTTTCTCTTTTGTAAAATTACATACAAATAAACAATGCTTAATTGTTCAATTTTGTTATTTTGTTTTTCATTTTAAATATCCTTGGAATAATTAAAATTAATGATCCTATGTTGGTCCCTATTTAAAGATCATTGGTCTGTGAAATCTAAAATATTGACAACTACTTGATTTAAAGAATAAGAAAAATATGGTGAGCATTTTTATAGGGTGTTCTGTGTGTTGCAATTCTTTAAAATCCTACCTTAGGGTTATTTCAGAAATTATTTCTCCATCGAACTCCCCACATCAGGGCCAGCATAACAGATAAAGACATTTGACAAACCTGGGCTGCACCCTCATCCCTGCCTCTTCTGACTCTGGGACCCTGGGCATGTTATTTAATTTAATTTAATATCAATTTGATTTAAATTTAATTTAGTTTTTTTCCCCACAGATATTGCAGATAATAGGCTTAATTTATCTAGTATATAAGTTACTTGGATTAAACTATTTTTTTCACCTTCAAGATAATGTTTCTTATATATAAGTCAAGTGATTATGCTGTATACTTACAACTTTTACAGTGCTGTATGCCGATTTTATCTCAAAACTGAAAAAAATAATGTTCTTCATTAAATGCAGTTTTACTATAAAACTGTCATACTCGTCTTTGTCACATGACAGTTCCATTGTAACTGAATTAGTATTACTCAGGCATCTTCTTCCTTGTCTTCTACCACTATCAATATCATCAATCTTTATCATTCTCAGAACCCTTTACTCAAGTAAAAGCACTGACTGACTATAAAAAGTGATTGGAATCTGGTTACTCACATTCCTCTTTCGGAACGCTGAAGAAGAAAAAAGCTGTCTGAGTTTGGGTTCCAAGTTCATTGTCATTTTCCATGAGAGAAAGAGAGAAAATAAATCACTTAGAAAATGTTTGGATTGTTATTAGGCTTTCTCTTCCTTAGAAGATTTATAGGTGAGTCCCAGGCACTTTTAGGACAAGAAACAGGAAGGTTTTGTAGCTGTGGGTCATTGTTAAAATGTCTCCCAAAGCGTGGGAGGGACATTGGAGAATTCGCCTGGCCTGTGCCCTAAGACCAGCGGGCTAGACAAGTGAGTAAAGGGGCAGGAAGGTGGGGCACGGAGGGGTGATGGAAGGAGGGGCTGGAGGGAAGGAGAAATGGTGGAGAATTGGTGACCAGCTTCTTTCTGGCCTCCGGGTCTCCAACCAAAAGGGCAAAGGCAGAAGTGGCTGCTCCTGCGCAGCCCCTTGTCTGCTGGGTCAAGGACAATTTTTTTTTTCATTCTATTCACAAGAAACTGTTTTCACTGGAGATGCTGCCCCACAGCTGGAAAAAACAGTGTCACAGAAAGGTTACATGCGTAAGGAAGTGCTAAATGTGCGCGTCCTATCAAGAAAATATTTGTCCCTTCCCAACTGTTAAGGAATAAAAACACATCTCATAAGAAATATGTAGATAATATTGCTCCACTTATTTCCCCTAGTAGCTTGTTACAGGATGACTTTAAAATAATAAGTAAAGGTATTTGATAAACAAAAGTAATTGCATATGTATTATTTAGTACCTGGTCAGTACTGGGCAATCACTCTAAAAAGTGATTTTATGCTTATTATTTAGTGCTAACATTTTAGTATTATGTTTGTATAGAGCTCTGTGGTGGTGGGGACCATGCCTTTTATTTGGTTGTTTTGGTTGTTTTTTCTTTCCCAGTGTTACATTCGGCTGGCCTATGGTAGGTGCTCAATAAATGGTGAAGATCCTAAATCAAAGATGTTATGATCTCTTCTCTGGTGGCTAATAATTGGGCAGAGACTGTTAAAATAAAGAAAATACATATATCATGTGCTATGAACAGGCAGTCTCACTTTTAGGTCTCCGTCCTCCAGTAATTATGGCATATGTAGATAAAGGTATATGTACAATATTTTTTGCAACCTTGTTTGTAAAAGCAACATTGGGCCCTGGTTGCTGCGACTCAGTGGATTGAGCACTGGCCTGCGAATCAAAGGGTCACTGGTTCAATTCCCAGTCCAGACACATGCCTAGGTTGTGAGCCAGGTCCCCAGTTGGGGGCATGGGAAATGCAACCACACATTGATGTTTTTATCTGCCTCTTTCTCCCTCCCTTCCCCTCTCTCTAAAAATAAATAAAAAAAAATCCTTAAAGAAAAAAACATAAAAAAATAAAAGCAACATTGGAAAGGCCCAGTCACCAACAGATAAATGGTGAAATAATATAGAGGGCCTCCAAACAATGTAATACAATGCTGCTATTTAATATAATAAGGTACCGGCCTAGATATATGTCCATAATATTGCATGTTAAAAGCAAGTTGTGGGCTAATATATACAGCATGATTTCATTTTTGGGGGGTGGGGGTGTGTTTTATGAGATATCTACAAAATGAGGGAAAACTTTGGGCAGCATGTCTACCAAGTGTTAACAGGTTGACAATGAAGACGGGATCAGAAGGACCCCGTCCACTTCTTTATACATAGAGTTTGTAAAGTAGTAAGATTATGGGAAGCTTTTACTTTGGAGGAGACATTTTAAATTAAAAATAAATTAATTCTCCACTGATGAAAAGATTTTTTAAAAGTTTTTTTTTGTTTTTTTTTGTTTTTTTTTTTTTTAATATGCAGGGTTTTGCTTGTAAGCAAGCAGATTTTACTTCACTCAAAGGGCTCCAGAAAGTCTGGCTCTCCAGAAAGTCTGGCTCTCTTCAATGTGCCTTTAAATTTGAGACTGTTTTATTGGAGTAAAAGGATTTTTATGTTTATAGTATACTATATCATGCAAATCTATTTAAAATATTAATATGTATCTCATTAATGTATTTGTATTAGCTGGGTGTCATGTACAGCTGGTCAGCTTCTGCCATTCACACAGTGTTTGGTCCAGCAGTTGTTCTGGCCACGAGATACACCCCAATCAAAAGCTGCTTCGGATGAGGAAGGAGGGCCCGTAATGTGTCCAAAAGTTTGGCACTAGCCAGTGACAACCTTGGCGTTAGTTACATATAATACTGTGCTTGAAAGTGAACAAAACTACAATTCCTTATATAGTACAATCAGGCTTTTTGCCAGGTGGGCTTTTGTTCACCACCCATTTGTCACCCTCTGTGACCTCCAACCACCTCTTGGGTCAAAAGGAATGTTGTCCCTTAAAGTGGAGGCTGAATCCCTCCTTTCTTACCAGTCATGCTCTCCCATTTCTCTCTGTTGACTTGCCTTACATTCTCAGAGAGGTTCCCTCCTCTCTCCATCCTCACTTCTGAACCTATTCTAGACTTATTTTATCTTGGAGCTTTTCTAGTGGGAAGGATTTTCAAGTCCTTCCCACTTATTCACTCTTCAAAGGGCTCTAGAAATCCTTCCTTTACCAGGGAGTTGGGAACCGCCCCGCTTGGTTTCAGGGACGTGTAGCCTCACTGAGAGGCGAAAAGGCCCCAAGGCTGGAGCTGAGCAAGGAGGCCTTGGGAAAATAGGCCACTGAGGAGACAAAACCTATACCCCTGGCAGGAGCGCAGCCTCTGCCTCCCTCACATCATCCTGCTTGGTTGTGGAGGATGGCTGGTTAGTCAATGATGGGTAAGGCCCCTCAATAGCAGGGGCAGCTTAAGACAGGCACAGTCGCATAGGGGCCATCAGGGAAGGACTCGGGGGACACAGAGAAGGGGCAAAAAACCCTCACCCTTTGGCTTTGTCATGGCCTGAGTCTTCATTCTGTCTTAAAGAAGTACCCTTATCTCTTGGCTGCTATGCCCAAAGCCTGACAGGGTCAGTGAAACAATACAAGAGACAGGTACGGTCCTAATCTGGATCTGGTGGTTCCTGGGGACAATTAGGCCTGGAAAAGGAATGCATTAAGTCCTATGAAGCTTACTTTGCTAAGAATGCCCTCGAGTTAATGAGTACTGATGCTTGGGTTGAGCATAGAATGTGATCAGTTTCCCAGGTTTCAGGGCCAAATGGAAGCCACCTTGTCTACCAGACCCTGACCTGAGTCAAATCTGGGTTCCTTCAATTGTTATCTATGACCTCTATCAGTTTTCTGTAAACATAGACTTTTGACATTGGTTGATGACCTTTACATGCACGCTGTATACCCCTGTGCATATTGTTCTCACCACTTCAAGAGAAGGGCTCCGGGCATTCTCCACTAGAGGGAATTGCAACCCCATTTTCCTGGCAGATGGAGAGTGTCTGGAATGACTTATTTTATTTTCCTTATCTGGGGCAACCCAGGGGGACTCTGAGGGAATGGGGTATCCCCCATCACCAGGGAGCATTTACTGGTGAATTATTATAATTGGCACATAATACAAGAACAACAGAAGCCAACAATTGCCAGTGATTCAGACTAAATACTTTATTAGGTTCCAAAGTGAGAAAACGGTAGTGTGAATCTATTTTAGCACAAATCTACCACCCTCTGCAAAGAGCCAGCCTTAGCATCCACGGCTCCCCAGTCATGGTAGCGCCTATACTCTTGGGGCCTCAGCAGATACTGGTGCCCTCGGTAGTTAGGCATCTCGTAGAGGACCCAGTAGCCCTCCAGCACGTGAAGGGAGCGGACCTCACTCAGATGGAAGCGGTCCTGGATGCTGGAGCAGTCCTCGCTCAGCTCCATCATGAGGCCTTTGTGGTCCTCTTTCTCATACAGCCGCAGCCTGTGGGAGCCTGTCTGCTTGGTCCACAGTCAGAAAGAACAGAAGAAGCAATCAAACAACAGATCAACTTGGTAGGTTGGGATTGTCTGTGTAAAAACTGAGACTCTAAGATTGCTGTGAATGGATCTGTGTCCTACTAGCATTTAACAAGTATTTGTATGCTTGTTTTCTATTTCTTATCTAGAAGACATGATTTTTTTAGAGATTCAAAGTCTGGGTTAGAATTTATTGAGAGCTCAAATATCTTATATTCCTAATTCCTAATTACCTAATTCCTTGATTCCTAGGTATTAAACCAATATTTGGGGCAGGGGTGAGAAGGAAATATAAAGTATTTTGACTGATATTTTTTAAATATGAGTATTATCTCCTAAATTTATATACATATAAATTCACCACTAAAGTAGGATTTTTAAAGTGACGTCAGTGAAAATTGGTTTAGTCACTTGAAATCACAATTCAACTAATTTTCCAAATTACTTTTTTTAAAGTTGGACATTACCTTTCAATAGCCTATACTAACAATAGAATTGTCAATTTTTACTAGTCTACAGTGGAACCTATCTATTTCATTCATTATCAATTCTCTTACTGTAGGTAAAAATTAATTTGTTAGAAATACTGCCTTCTTTTGTCCAACCAATTTCCCATTTGCAAGTTTTGTTTTATGTCCCACCATGTTAATGCTTCGTTACAGGCAACTTTTGATGGATTTATTGGTAGAAAAATGAAAAAGAAAACGGACTCTCTAAGTGAATTCTTCCCCAATAGTCTGTGTTGTTTCTGTACGGGTATCTATCTGGGCATAGGCAAGTATCTAATGCACGTAATCCTTGGGCGTTTTTAAGGGAAAGTCTCCTTCACACTAACCACCCGCAATAATACTGCGAGGGCCCTGAGGCAGTGTGATTGGCACCGTGGGGCACTCACTTGGGGGATGAGGCAGCAGGAGCGGACCGAGTCGCTGAGGCCCACTCGCTGCAGGTAGTCGGAGTAGTCGCCGCGCCGCAGGAAGTGCTGGCGGCCCTGGAAGTTGGGGCGCTCATAGAGCATCCAGCAGCCGCTGTCCACGCGGATGGAGTTGCAGCGGCTGATGTAGGGCTGCAGGTTGGGGCAGTCGCTGCTGCACTCGTAGCGGCGGCCCTGGAAGCCGCGGTCCTCGTAGAAGGTGATCTGCAAAGGAAGAATAATTGCGCATTACATGATTTGCTCTCAATAGATCTTGTATAGAGGCTTTAACATTTTTTCCATTTTATTTAACTTGTGTTCTGCTCACCTTCCCCATGACTGGTTGATGAAGCGAGTTAAGTGGAATGGGCCTCCAGCGCAGGGAGTCTATATAGCAGGCTGGCTGCTGCGTTGGCAAGAACAACACAAAAGGGGCCCGGGAGTGAGGGGGGGATTTCACAGATCCCTTTTACATGCTGCATTCAATAGAAATGCCTGTGGAGTTTACCCTCGTTCTCTGGTATATTCCAACGCTGTCCTGTATGTGTTTTAGCGGTCCCTACAGTTGCTTTTATTTGGATTCTTAGTGTTTTCTAAATTTATCAGCACATCAGTTTGAACTTTCGACCTGAAATGTGTGTGTCTAAGATTCAGTTATGCCCCATATATTTTCTGGGGGGGAAAAAAAAAATCTAGGCCTTGAGAGAAGTGCCTCAGAACGCCACAGCACCGACTAATTTTCCTTGACCGCAGAGATCACTTCAACTTAAAATTTCCTTCTTTCCACAATTTTCCAGTCTAATGCAGGACACAAATCTGGGTTCTGATCTTTGCTAGTTTTGACTGAGTTGTCCAGATGATTTGAGCCATAGCTACTAACTTCCCCTTTGTTATACCTCATGTAACTAGAAATCACCGGCTGGTAATCAACTGGTGATAAGAACCAAGGGAAAGGCTTCTATGGTCATTGGGTCTAAGACTGAGAAGTTTATTGCTTTGTAGATTGCTTCCCATTTTCCAGGGCGGGAGGAGGCAGCAAAGTTTCATGGATTGAGAAAGTCCACTTAGTAGCTATATAACCTCTCAGAGCTTGAGTTATTTCATAGTACTTATCTCATAGTATATAGTATGTTTGATAAGAAAGAAATAAAGAAAAAAGAAAGAAAAGCCTCTGACATTCAGAAGCTGGCCTGGGGGAGCTAGGCTGCGTTATTCGCCTATCGGACGCAAACAATCTCACAAAACAGCAAGTGCAGGCCAGGTTACTCTGAGGTCATGATGAAATGAGACAAGCACAGGCAAAAACAAAGTCAGTGTGCCACCCTCCAAATACCAAACTGCACCTCTCTCAGCTAAAATGACTAACTGTTGCTTTTACATCAATTGCAGCTTTATTCTTGTGCTGGGCTCCCCTCCCCAAGAGTGTATTTATTGAGAGCCAGTTATGAAATTACCCCTGCTTTCTGACAACAACCTATCTAGAGTGAATCCCTGCTTTTCTAGACCCTTCCCCAAATCATCCAACCAAAGTAAAAATACTATAACATGCTCTTTCCAACACCATCTTATTGAGGCAGCTTCCCCATGGGGTGCAATAAACACCCCATCTAACAAGTAGTAAACCTAACTTGTTTCATGACAAGGGTTCCTGATGGTCTTTGGCTAAAGCACATTGACATGAATAAATGAAATCATGTGTATCTTATGTTTGCCATCTACCTGGCACAAATGAGAACTGAATAAATATCTCATATTGGTAATAATGTGACATTATTAAGGATGGCTTCAGCCTATTTATCTTTCTCAGAGCTATGCAGTCCTCTCAAACATGCTTGAAAAATCTTTCTGCTCTGAAGCCATTTTATGATTAAAAAATGGTAGACTTGGAAGGGACTTTATAAGTGATCTACTGTTTTTCACTCTTGTATACATAAGAATCACTTGTGCTTATTGAAATGCAGATTACCAGGCCGTACCCTCTTGGGAGATTTTGCTAGATCTGGAAAAGACTCCAGAAATCCGCATTTTCTAAGCAGCACCAGATTGTCCTTGGACCAAACTTTGAAAAACATTAACTCTGGTTTATTTCTTCATTTTTTTTTTTAAATAAGAAAAACATATGTTTTAGCTATCCTCAGGTAAAATTGTACTAGCAATTATACCAACATTCTTTTCAAACATATAGGCAGAAATGCTTTCTGCTTTGTTCTATAGTTTCATATACACATGAGAGAAGCAAAGCAGAAGTACCAGCACTTTAAATAATAGAGCTGATAAACAGGAAAAGAGAGAATGGTGAGAAAATGCATATTACTAAATGTTAGTCTTGTCTCAAAATGGCATAGTTTTGATGTTTCTCTCACCTCTTTTCAGGTCCCGCCCCTTCTCTTCCCTAGCCCCTGCCTTCCTCTCCTCCTTGCTCCCATAACCCACCTCCACCAGCAGCTGCCTTTCTTCAAGGTTCCTCATATCTCAGCCAGGCTTTCAATAAGCTCTTGACTCTGTCCAGCCTTGCCTTTCTCCGAAGTGAACTCTGCTAGGATACCAGGGTGATCAGGATCAAAACACATCAAGTCATGCTGCTGCTATGAACTGAATGTTTGTGTTTCAGCCAAATTCACATGTTGAAACCTTAATCCTCAATGTAATCTTAAAACCTCAACCCCCAATGTAATGTTGAATCCCCGATCCCAAAAGGAGTTGAGGCATTTGAGAGGTAACTAGGTCATGAATGTCCTTATAAAAAGTGACGCGGAAGGGCTTGCTTCACCTCTCTTTGCCAGGTAAAGATACAAAAAGAAGATGTCTACAAACTGGAAGTGGCCTCTCACCGGACACCAGGTCTGCTGGTGCCCTGATCTTGGACTTCCCAGCTTCCAGAACTGTGAGAAGTACGTGTTTGCTGTTTAAGCCACCCAGCCAGTGGTATTTTTGTTGCAGCAGGCAGAACTAAGACAGCCACTCACCTGCTTGAAATGCTTCACTGACTCCCCTTCCCTCCAGAATCAAGTACCAGTTTCTTAGCATGACATACCAGACCTGACATCCGTTGTCTGTCCCCAGACTTTCTGTCCCATCACACCTAAACCACTTGTAGTTTCCCAAATACACAAAGTTATTTGTGCACTTCTCTTGTTTTTGAACATATTGAGCTTTTGGGTTTTTTGCCTTAAGATACCACTTTCACATTTTTCACCCAGAGCAGTCGTACCCTTTCCTCAAGGCTCAGCTCAAGTGTTAATTCCTCTGCGAAGATTTCCTTGAACACTTCTTTATCTTCCAGGCTGAATTAATAACTACCTGTTTGGTTCACCAAGCATCTTGTTCATACCACTGTAATGGTAATTATCATTTATCTAATTAGTTCGTTTAGATATCAATTCCTACAAATAAATGAGGAGACCTTCATAAGGACAGTAACTATTCTGCCTTTAGTTTTGTTTTGTCACTCACTGGCAAAATGAACTGGTATATTAAAGTCACTCAGTAAACGCTTGGGGGATATAAATGTTACTCTCCAGCCTGAAGTTCATTATTGTAATAGTCCACAGGACCAATTTCAAATGCTCAGCACACACTGGCATACGCACCCACATCAAAGTTCAGCATTGGCAACTTTCCTTGTGTAGGGTGTCAGAAGCACAATGCATATGACCCAGTAATGGGCCTTTATAACAAGGGAGGTGACTAAGCAAAAGAGCAAATACAGGAATAACATGTTGTCCCCCAGACCCTTTGATCCTCAGTAATTCTAAGTTTTATGTCTTCTGATATGTCAAATTAATGTTACAACAGTAGCAGCCAATTTCAGAGTTTTGCCAGTGGCTGATGTCCAGCCAGCAGTTGACTTTACCACCCACCTTCCTGCTTCCTAGTAATGCATATAGCATTTATGTCATGTATGTGTTCGGTTAAATGAGCAGAGGTCATTTGTTTGGCAGCTGTGTAGACCAAACTAGACCAGATAAAGACCCTGGGTAAAGGACCAAAGACTACCATCATAGGAACAATTTATCTTTGATGACTCACCTCTGCTTAACTCCTATGGCATTTCTCTTGGTACAATTTAGCTTTTGGGTTAAAAACAATGCATTTCTTCTTGTTTAAGCGACAGGCTGTTGTGATTGTCACTTTTGCTTTGACAAACTGACAAAGGAGAAATTTTGAACTCCTGAAGTTCGAGGAGAGAGAATAAGACACATACTAGTGTCTTATTGGGGTCAGGACCTAACCCCATGGCAGCAGGGCAGGACAATTGGAGGGAGAACCCATAAGAAGGCGGATCCTTTGATCTGCCTTCTGGGTACTTCTTTATGGGTTAGCTGCTACTTCACTTTCTTTGCTTGGTGGACATTTTATAAAGTTGTTAGATAACCCAGAAGCCATTGTAGATTCAAAGGGAAAAAGAAAAAAAATGGAAAAAAAAGATTTAAAATCTGGACTTAGTAATGCAAATTAGAATATGCAAGGAACACTGGTGTGTATTGGGTGTGTAGTTTGACACTTGAGTTATTTCAAATTATTAGTTCATCTTGATGGGGAAAAGGTTAATGGAATTCTGTAGGTTATCCCTTCTTCCATTCCACTCTTTCTGGCTGCCTTCTCCTCAGACCCTTTCAGCTCTTTGAGGTCTCAGCATTAACTTTAGAGAGAGTAGGGAGAGAAGGAGAAAGGGTAGAATTAGCAGTTAGTTTGGGCATGCTCTCTTCCCCTGGTCACTCCCCACTGTGGACTTATGCTGGGATTAGAGAGAAGATACCATTCTCTTTGCCTATGTCCTAGTGATGGAAGCAACTGATTTTCAAGAAGAAATGAGATCCAAGAACTCTTATTTTATGAACTTATTCAGGTGTTTCAGGATCATTTCCATGACTGCGGTCTGTGATATGAGTACTTGGTAAATAATATGAAATTCAGTACTCCAAGAAACTTTGGGTTTCTAATTCACATTTGATATGTTGCTGGCAAACAGAAGACTGTCCAGTACTAGTATTAGAGTTTAAAATCTGAAGAACTGAGATTTAGGAACAATGAATGCCAAATAATTGTGTTCAAAACAATGCATTTCTTCTTGTTTAAGCAACAGATTGTGATTATCACTTTTGCTCTGACAAACTGTCAAAGGAGAACATTTGAACTATTTTTCAGGGAAGAAACTTTCATAGGCAGCCAAATCATGTGCTCCAGTTTCCCTGGAACAGTCCCGATTCATGCCTTTTGCCCCACGGTAATCCTTCATAGTGCACTTTTACTCTCAAAAATGATTCAGTTTAAGAAACAAAGTATGTTTGCTCTATTTATAAGCCACCTGGATAGTGCATTTGAAGACCTTGAGGACGTGGGATACAGAGACTCTGTAACAACCATGATGATACAGCAAAGAACAGAGAAGAGAGGGGCAGGGAAGGGAAAGAAGACAAGATCACTCACAAGCAGGTTGAAGCTGGCAGACTGGCTAGAGCAGAGCCATCTACTGTTGTTGTACTATAATGATCTAAACTTGCATCTCTCTCCTAGGGCCTCCATAATTAAGCTGGCTGAACATGTTAATGTTTTATGTGAGAGACAGTTCAGGAGTTAAAGGAACTATGGGAACCATGTCTTCCATCTGGGTCAGTATGATGCATGGGAGGGGCAAGTGAGACACACAAGGAAGGTAAGAAGATCCACCCAATGACAAGGTAGGGGTTCTGAGTGGATGGTGACTGGAAAAAGCATAAACCATTCTCTTTCTCTCTAGAATTACAAGAGACAATTACAAGAGTCATTTTGTTAGAACTTAAAAGGATGGGGAACTTAAATTTTGAACTGAAGCCATCAGCTTCATTGAGTAACTTGATAAGAAACAGTCCAAATAACTATATTTAATTACTGCAGGATGTTATTGAGGGTGTTGTTTACTCAGTACCCTCTTTACCAGGACCCACAAGAAAATTTTCTTTTTGGTTTTAGTACTGGTAGTGGTTAGGCTTGTCATGAATAATTTATTTTTTGGTCATATAGATTCTGTGAGTTGTAGAACCGATCTTGTTTCCCTGTCTGCCTTGGCTGCTGGATCCAAATCTGGCTCTGTCTACAGCCAACAAAGTGCCTCAGAGAATGCAATGTGGTCTTGAACTTCACCTCACCCCTGGCTCCATCTCTCTCTCTCTCTCTCTCCCTCTTTCATACTCTTTTTTTGTCTTCTGATGCATTTTCCTCATTTTTTTTCATTTATTTTATTATATTGTAATTTTTATTTGTGACTTTAATCTATTCTTGACAAATAAAAGAAACAGACATACAATCAAACCCCAGCAAGTTCCAATTCTTTATTTTGCATTTAGTATTATTTTCTACATATAGTACTTTATTTCCTATTAAAATGATAAAAGGCTGGCTTTCCCTGTGTGCCTGTGGTTTTGGTAAAAATCCTGAAATTCTTCTACAAAGCACATACAGCAAACCTACAGGGAATTATATTTGGACTGGAAATCTCATGGAGGAATGGGATATTAGGAATGAAATTGGGAGAAAAAGAACAGTAGCTGTTAGGATATGTGTGCAATAGGTGAGAGGGAACAGTTTGTTTGTTTACGGAGCTCCAATAACAACCTAGATGCTGAGAATGACTTTCCTTGTCAGCTAAGTCCTGGACTATACAAAAGGAAGATGTCCAGGAAGGACAATCAGGAAGTACTAACTCACCTTTGTAACTGCACAAGTATCCTTGTATGAAAAACCACAAATGGCTTTGGCCCAAATGAATTGAACTTTATTTGAATTTACATGGTTTAGTCTTCAAAAGAATGCTGACAAAATATCCTCACTTTATCTCCCTTATATGATGTTGTTTCCCCATTTTGAAAACATGTTATTATTTTTTGCAAAGTGGCAAAATTGCAAATGAATGTTCAGTATATTGAAAGAAAGGCAGGAATCTATTGGTGCCAGAAACACAAGCCAAAATGTTTTATTAGATTCTAAAGGAGAAACACAGAGACTGTGAATATTTCAGTGACAGTCCATGACACGTGTAAAAGAACCAACTCTGGAGTTTGTAGCGCCCCAGTCAAGGTATCTTCTGTACTCTCCTGGTCTCAGCAGGTACTGCTGGCCCCTGTAGTTGGGCGTCTCATAAAGAACCCAGTAGCCCTCCAGCACTTTGAGGGAGTGGATTTCACTGAGGTGGAAGTGGTCCTGAAGAGAGAGACAATCATCTGTGACCTCTGACATTTGTCCTCGAAAGTCATCTCTCTCGTAGATCCTCATTCTGTAAATGCCGGAGTGCTGGAGTGGCAGACAGAAAATAAAAAGTAAGTGAATACACATGAAGAGAAATTAAAGTTCTAGTCCATGCACCTCCCTGGCCACACCTGGCCAGGAATTCTGAGTTCAAGTTTGCTTCCGGAACAGCCATGTTGCAGAGTTAAAGGGCCTTCTTGTCCCCCCATCAACCACTTGAAATGAGTCTAATATTTAATGCGGAAAGCAAGGAACAGAATTCAGCAGCCCTTTAAATGCTACCCACCATCCTCTGGCCTCAGGAATTAAGATTTGCCTAAAATAAAATAGATTAATTTAGTCCTTGTTATTAGAGAAATTCTTTTGCAAAGGTGAAAAATGAGAGTCATTGGAAAGCCCTGTCACATTTCATAAATTACTCTTGTTAAGAAAGAACCCACCTTTAGCGATTTTCTGTACAACTGATGTTTTAGTGTTCATGTACACTATGGCATATAGGATCACAAAACTCTGGTAAAAAATTAAGATTGACACATTTTCTGCCTTCGGTTGAGATGTCTACCTATCTGACTATTTAGCTTCCTACCCTCAACTTTTTTGTTTCCCTCAGCTGCAAGAATCATTTTCATTAAGCTCTGTTTGGGTGACGCTACGTCTCTTGCCTCTCACACACCATTCTTCTGAGAACTCTGCAACCACTACCTAGGAAATACCGAATCTCAAACAAAGTTTTGGATTTGGCGCTTCCACTAATTTATAACCTCTAAGTGAGCTGGTGGGTTCTGACCATTAAATTAGAACAGAAACTAGAAGACAGGGGCCTCTCTTCTCCAGAGAGATAATCAGATAGAAAAGTGACTCAAAGCAAGCAGAAGTATTTTTATCAATTAAACAAACACAGATTGCATTTCTAAATTTTGTTTTATTGGATTTCTGAGTTAAGGCTTGGAATCGCCACTTTAAGAAATTTTATCTTCTGCAGATGGTAACTTCAGTTTTCTCTATGTTGTGCTTTTTCTTGGTCTTCATCTTTTAATTTTGAATTACATTTAAAATATAAAACTGGGAATATGTGATAAAGAAAAAAAAGAGAGGTTTCACAAAGAATGGCTTCCCATCGGAACCACCCTTCTAGAATGAACTACAAGCTTTAGGCTCACTTCCACTCTGCTTGCTAGTTGAAACAATCTGGTTGAAGAATGATCTTTAATGACTTTCATTTCCAAAGAGTCCTAAGACAAAGACAGAGCCATACTTACTAGGGGGATGAGACGGCAAGAGCGCACGGAGTCGCTGAGGCCCAGCCACGGCTGGTAGTCGGAGTAGTCGCCGCGCCGCAGGAAGTGCTGGCGGCCCTGGAAGTTGGGGCGCTCATAGAGCATCCAGCAGCCGCTGTCCACGCGGATGGAGTTGCAGCGGCTGATGTAGGGCTGCAGGTTGGCGTGGTCGCTGCTGCACTCGTAGCGGCGGCCCTGGAAGCCGCGGTCCTCGTAGAAGGTGATCTGCAAGATGGAAGACAGGGAAGCATGAAGCTATTTGCCCTGCTGAAGATGCCGCGACAAGACAAAGGTTGAGCCTCAGGTACCCAGCACTTACCTTTCCCATTTTGGAAAAAATGAACAGCAGGTGTTCACTCCTGTTGTGTGGGACCTGCGGGACCGCCTGCTCTTTATATAGCTGTCCTGACTGCTGCCTAGGCAGGAAATCACACAAAAAAGGACTCGCTTCAGTGAGTAGGGGATTTGCAAGCTTGCTGCTCACCGCCCCGCCACACCCGGTCGTTGGGGTTGCTGAATGGTTTGCTCTCATTCTCTCTGGTAGGTTCCGGTAGTTCTAATTCACTAAAGTTGTTCCCGCCAACGTGAAAAGAGTCGTCACTCTTTTAGTTGAGCAAAAGGATGAGCGAAATTCTATCCCCAGTCTTTTATTTTATAGTCATCCCTGCGAAATTGACCGCTCAAGGATAATTAAACTGAGCATTGTATTTTGCTCAGGGACTGGCAATATTTTTTTTTTTTTAGAAAAAAATAAAACTTCTTAAAAACCAGAATTGAAATAACAAGGAATCTTAAAGAAGAGGGAATCGAGTGAAGTAATGTGTGAAAGTGCTTTGAAAAGCAGTAAACTTAGATCAAGTTTTGATCATCATTGTAATTTGGGGGTTATCTTGAGTGAAACCAATACTTGACAGGAAATTCATCGGCTCCTGAAAGCTGGGAATTCTTTTTTGTTCCTTTCTGCCCAGGGGCCTTAGAGCAGAGGCTTGGCATGCAGTAGGTTCTCAATACATGGCTTTGACCTGCAGGAATGCAGAGAGTTGTGGCCTTTCTCTTTTTCTCACATCATCCTGGAAACCTGAATCCTCCCTTCTGCTAGCGGCTGCCATGAGTCCTGCCTGCTGTCTGATGTCCCTGACCTTCAAATGTCCTACCACCTTCCTTTCCTCTTCACCATCATAAACTCCTGTCCACTTGATGATGATGATTTGAGTTAGTATAAGGAGTGCTGTATCACCTACTCAAAGCACTATATTGCCTACTTCCTCAGGCTGCTGAGGTGCTGAGTGGCACCCGGCCAGCTGACAGCCACTTGATAGTATGGATTTCACAGTGTGGTCCCTCTTAGGTCCCCTAGACACTTTCAAGGGGCTCATAAGAGCAAAACAGTTTTCAAAACAATATCAAGGTATTACTTGCCTTTTTCACTCTTATTCCTTCACAAGTATATAGCAGAATTTTCCCAGAGGCTATACGATTTTTTTAAATTGTAAAAATGTAAAATAATGTCAGTCTTTTCATTGTTTTTGCTTTAGAAAGTATAGTTATTATTCATAAACATGTTACTTATATTAACATGTGATAGAACTGTCCAAGGCCCTTCTTAAAAGGAGAGAAACCCAGAGTGAGTAGGGTTCAGTAGGGGTCCCTCTATTGAAATAGAACCAACACAGTATCCGGTGGATACTCAGGCCCATGCATGACTCTCCGCCAGATGGTAAAGAGCATGCAGTGGTTACAGACCTGCTCTCGTCTGCTTCTCAGTCAAAGCCATGTGACATTGTAATTCATCCCAGCCTCTTGCAAAACTAGTGACAGCATTAAAGGAGCCCTGAGACAATCTGTAATATTAGGGCATATTCAGGATCAAATAAAATACCTAGAAATAAAATATTGGGTCAAAAGGTTGATTAGAGAGTTAGGCTTATCTGTGGATTCCGAAGTCATGGGAAAGCCTGGGCCTTGAGTTAGAGGTCTACTGTACTCACACCCACGCAGTGGTATAGTTAGCTGTTAACATTAGAGCATCAGAGGCTGGGCTGGGCAGGGCAGGAAGTGAGCGGTGCCGTTGGGACCTGCACCAGTGCTTGGTGGAGGAGCAAGTGCTTGCAAATGACACTGCCTGTGACCATGTGCCCTGCCTGTCCCATGGCCTTGCTTTAGCACTGCTTCCTCTCAAGTTATTTTCTTCCTTCATAATACTAACAAGCACCATGGAACTGGTGAATAGGGACTCTCTGTGGGGAGCGCATTCAGGGAGCAATAGCTGCACACATGCACAGGCACTTCTGCGGTTTCTGTTACTGCTTGTGTAATCTTTGGAAAGTCACTCAACTTTCTCAGGCCTCAGTTTTCCCATTTGTAAAATATAAATGACAAGGAAAATCAAATGAAATAAGGAACTTGAACGCTGGCTGGTGTGGCTCAGTGGACTGAGCACCGGCCTGAGGGCTGAAAGGTCGCCTGTTCAATTCCAGCCAGGGAACTTGCTTGGAATGCTAAAATAAAGTGATGTCCTGAAATTAGCATCATGATTTGCTCGAGTTTTCCCTCCCTGAGGCATCACGGTCTTCTAGAAGCCGGGTGACTGCCTGAAGAGCTTCCTCCGTTGCTGCCAGCCTATTGATGTAGAAGCACCCTCAGACATACAGGCCCATCTTTTGTCATCCCATGGAGAGGTGGAAATTGGTGTGCAATACCCTTGTGCTTCATGGCCCCAGGAACGGGCTCTGAGAGGATGGCCAGTCGCAACTACAGCCACATGTCCCCAATGCCACTTATGAAAGTCCTCAGGCAGCATGTCAAACAAACATGCAAATGTTAAAGGGAGAGGCAGCAATAGCCACAAAATAAAATTGTGCCCTCAGGAGTAGCAGAACTAGACAAATACTAGAAACTAACTTATTGACAAAGCCCTGTGAAGCTAGGCGCCGCCAGCATAGCCAGAGACCACACGTCGCCGATGTGCTTCTCTGCCTCCCACCTAGTGCTGCAGGTCAACTGGTAAACCTCAGTTACAGTTCTAGTATGAAAAAGGTTCATTGGGTTCCCCAAACGCAAACTCGCATCAAAATATACCACCATATTCAGCAGAAGCCAACAAACTGCATGTGTTTTTGCACACATTAAAAAAAACAAACCCTAAACCCAAAATTGTTCTGCAAAGATAGCACATCAAAACCTTCAGAAAAGTGTAATCTGTAGTCACATTCTTTTGGTCAAATTGTTACTACATATTATGTACAAGCTAAGCCACGTGCCTAATCAGCATTCTGGAATGCTACTGAAAGACTAGAATATTTTCCTTCTAGTCATGATATTCTATTAAGAGAAAACCAACACCCATTTTTCTTACAATGCTTTATTGAAATGATTTTAAATGCTTCCATATGATAACATTGTAAAGGCAATCAATGATGGATTAATTTTATTTTGGGTTAATTAAACTTTGGGAAACTGCCTCTTACTCTACCACTCTGCAATGTATTCAGTCCTAAACATTTGAAAAATATGCTACAAAGCTAGCCTGTTCTGATATAGAAATACTATATATTCTTGGAATTCTCCAACAGTCTTCCACTCACAATGGAGTAGCATAAGATACACACATTTTTAAAACCCAGATGTGGCCTTGCAATGTGATTCTAAGAGAAGATAGCTCAACATCTAAAAATAACACTTTAGTGCAGTTTGCATCAAAACTAACTGTAAAGAAAAATATGCTGGCAAATGTTGCAGTTTTACACTGATGTTTCTTTTCCTCTCCCAAAGACTTTATTAGGAAGGTGCAATTTTGAGCTTCTAAGTGACCTGCAGAATAAAAAGATTTTGGTATCAAGCACGTCAGTTCAACCTGGACACACACATTAGCATTCAATAGATAGTGGTTAAGGTCAAATATTAGATACTAACTTATTGACAAAGATGGTTAAAATGAATGTAGGTACAAAAGAATTTCCATCGAACTGTTCTGAGACATTTGGAAATTGAGTTGTATTTTTCAACTAAATATGATATATGATCCCACAATGGATCCCGTGCAGAAGGAAAAAAAAAACATTTAAAGAAAACACTATTGACAAAATTTGTATATAGACAGTAGATTAGACTCAAGTATTAATGTTAGATTTTTCTGAGGTTGATAAGTTTACTGTGGTTATTTAAAAGAATGACTTTGTTTTTTGGAAGTACATACAAGTTTATGGGGTAAAATGATATGGTGATGTAACTTTAAAAAGATCAGCAAAATTAAATATCTATCTCTATATAGAGAGAGAAAGAGACAAGGGCAGAGGAAGAGAGAGAGGCAGAGAGAAAAAATGATATAAATAATGGAACAAAACATTAACAATTGGTGAATCTCAGTAAAATGTATATGAAAGTTCTTTGAAGTATTCTTACAACTTTCCTCTAAGCTCAAAATTATTCTCAAAAAAAAGAAAATAATAAAAGTAATACTTCATTTGACTATACCCAAAGCAAATCATTTCTTTACCTGTCAGAAGTTGTATATTATTCTTGCAGAATATTATTTTGAATTTCTTTATATTGCTTTGAATTTAAACCTAAATTGCTCTCCCTCCATTTCTGATAGAGGAGTGTTGAAGTCTCCAAATAGGATAGTGAAGTCATCTGTTTCTCCTTGCAGTCCTATGAGTTTTTACCTCCTGTAGTTTGATGCTCTGTTGTTCAGCGCATGCGTGTTAAGGATTGTCATGTCTTCTTAGAGAACAAACCTTTATCATCACGCAGTTCCTTTCTTTATCCCTGATAACTGTCCTTGCTTTGAAGTCAGCTCTGTCTGAAATTAATAAAGCTACTTTTGCTTTCTTTCGACAAGTGTTAGCATGGCATATTTTTCTCTGTCCATTTATTTCTCATCTATGTGTCTTTACATTTCAAGTGGGTTTCTTATAGACAACACAGAATATAGTCTTGTTTTTTGGTCCACTCTGACAATTTCTGTCTTTTTTTCCCTTCATAATGTCATGAAATTTTTTCATACAAAAAAGTTGAGAGAATTATACAATGGGATGCATATGCCCATCACCTGTCAATTCTGTTTGCTTTAATATGCCTCAGTGCATCTCTCTATCGCTCTACCTATCCACCCATCCATCTTATTCTTGGGGGTAGCAAGTTACCCTGTACTCTCCCCTTCTTTACATTTCTGAGAAGAGTTGTTGAATATTCAGTCTGTTCAGCTTTTTTACTTGTTAGGGTGGAATATCAATGTCCATGCTCTGTCTGTGTGGAAATGGAAACCGCATCCCTCAGACTGCCCTCTCGCCATGTCCTTTTCTCTTCCGTGGTGTTGTGGGTTCCTCAGAAGCAGTGGTAGTGTGGGCGCTTGTGTTATTGCTTGCTGCAGTCCTGGCACTTTTCTAAGCAATTCCACATCTGCGTGTACTAACTCACTTAGTCCTTGTAACAACCTATGAAGTAGGTACTGTTGTCATCCTCTTTTTAGAGATGAAGCACAGAGAAATTCACTTAATAATTCACCCAAGTTATTAAATGGAAGAACCAGTTTTTAAACCATGATAGTATGCTGTTTTCTAGCTTTTTGGTATGATCCTGTCCATTCCAAATTCATTTCCTAGTACTCTGCCCAATACTGACACCCTCCTAGGATATGATGTTGCTTATACTCATTTTGATTAATAAATGAGCTACAATACCAATACAGTATAAAAGAAATATTTAAAACTGTTTGTCAAAATACCTGGATTATTAAAAATAATTTTTCCTTTTTCCTTACTTTATAAAGAAATTCAGTGGCTGGAAATATGCAGAAAATTTTAGATAATGCAATTTTTCATCCTGAGGTTAAAAAATTATTTATCAGCTAATAATATAACATGATATAATATCCATAAGCTATAAACTAGGAAAAGACTAAGAAGCTCAAATAGATAAAATGAAAACTTACTCAAATAATAAACTGAACGTATATTTTTCATAAATTTATAAAGTGATTATTTTTTAATAAAAATATTTGTTTCTTTTATTTCTTTCTTGATTATGTCTAACAATTCGGCAGTAAGCATACATGTATAGCAATTTTGAATATCACAAGAAAAGTGGTTATTTCTAAGAAGTAGGAAAAGGTATGAAGAAGGGGAGTTCTTTTACTTTTCACTTACAATTTTTGTATTTGAAATTTTTACTATAAGCACGTTCATACTTATTTGAACCCATAGAATAACAGCCAGTTAACCTGTGAATAGCGTTTCTCAAATGCCAAAAAATAATAATGGTTAATATTTATTTCAGGTTTACTCTGTGCAAGCGCTGTTCTAACCTCTGAACATGCATGATCTCAGGCAATCATCCTAACAAGGCTAAAAGTGAGGTACCACTATTCTTCCCATTTTGCAGAAGAGAAAACTAAGGAACAGAAAGGTTAAGTCACCTGCCTGAAGTCACACAGATGATAAGTAGTAAGCTTTAGATTCAAACCCAGAGCATCTAATTCTAAAGACTAGACTTTTAAAACAATATAAGTAAAGTACTCCCCAAACATCTGGTATAATTTTGGTCCAATCTGTGTTTTTAGACCTACTTTGTTCTTTGGCTATGTGTCCAAAGAAATTTTTTGATCATTTCTGCTCTGTGGCATTTGCTTCCCTTGTAGAGCTGCTGGTGGCATTTTTATTCATTGCTCCCCTTCTTAACTTGACACCTAGAGACACAGGTAGGAAACATATCAGTACAAAAAAAACCTTTTTAGAAAAAATGAGTCCCCTCACAGTTTTAGATCTTCCCCCTCATGAATGCTTTGCTCCCATTATCAAAGGGTGTAAGAAATAAGGCTTCCCTGATTTTGATAATAAGGGAAATCAAGCCATAAATGCTCCTGATTCTTTTTAATTCAACCAGAAAGACGTTATTACCATAACAACTTTGGCCTTACTTTGTGAGCTCCCCTCCTGTTTTAAATGTCTCTGAGCAGGTGCAAGTAAACAGGCTTACTGTGCTTGCGGGCATATTCTGCGGCTTTGGGTGCTGTTAACACGGCAAAAGGGTGCAAGGAGAGGCGGAAAGGTGGAGCTCGGGGCACCTGAAAGGAAAACAATCCTGTTTTGAAAAGCTGCACACACTTCGTGATGGTTACACCTGCTGCTACGGCACTTGGCCCGTTCACCCAACCCATGGTCTTTAGACTTTAGTAGCAGTCCGCTGGTGAGGCTCATGTTTCAGGGTTACGCATGTTCATACACTGTTTTCTATTCCTGGGCTTGGTTCCTTTTGCCTAGAATACCTTTCCACACACTGATGCTCTTCAAATAGTTCTGTTTACCTAGACTGGCTACATTCTTCTTTTCTGCCTAGAGATGCTTACTTTTCTTAAAGGCTCCCACTTCTCTTTTAAAATGTAGCTCACATATCACCTTTCCTGAGAAAGTTGCTTGGGTCTCCACACCTTCACTCTCCCATAATGGCCTCCTGCCCCCACCCCACCACAAGGCAGACTTATTGACTCATCTGTGAATCCAAACCATGTTGTCACACAGAACAAACCCAATGTGTTATAGTTATAATCCACTGGCTGTTGCACTACACTGGAAACTTCTTCAAGGGTACAACTGTTCGCCTCTTCATTCATTCATTTTGTTCATTCGTTCAACAAGTTTTCAGTGAGCACCTATTATGGGCCAGGCTCTGTTTAGGAGTTGTTACTAAGACAGACATGCTTCCTGCTTTTCTAGAGCTGAATGAGGAGAGACAAACAATAAACTATTAGACAACCAGGGTAATTATACATCATGGTAGGTTTAATAAATAAACTAAACAAAATGAAGTACTAGGAAGTGACTGGACAGGCACCTCGTTGGACAGGATGGACAGAGAAAGCATCCAGAAGGAAGAAGCCATGTCCCAGCCGAGACTTACAGGATGAGTGGCAGTCAGCCATGGGAGAGCTGGAGCGACGTGTTCCAGGCCAAGGGAACGAGAAGGCCTCCTGAAATAAGCTTTTGCTTTTCTGACACAGAAAGGAAACCAGTGTGTGGCTAGAGCACAGTGAGAACGGGGGAACGTGTAGGTGAGGCTGAAGAGGAGGCAGGACCCAGATCACGTGGGTCCTTGCGGGTCATGGTACCGAACTGTTCACTGAAATTGATTCCGGGGTGCAATGGAAGCCATTGAAATGTTTTGAAGCAGCAGTGTTACAAGGTCCGATTCCAGATTTTAATAAGATCGTTCTGGCTGCTGTGTGGAGAATGAATTGGAGTGTGGAAGGAAGGAGGCTGCTTAAACTAATTTAACCTTTCATCTCTAGTGTTTTAGAGAGTTCCTAGCACATAGTAGGCATGCAAATGTTATTAACTAGTTGAACTATGATGCTAATCAAGGCAAAAGTAGTTAACAGCATGGACTTTTATTTCAAACTGGCTGTATCCAAATGCAGGCTGCACCACCTACAAGATGTGTGACTTTGGGCACATCATTTAACTTCTCTGGGCCTGTTTCTTCATGTTATAATAATAACACTGGTACCTACCTCATAGCATTTCTGTGGTAGAGATTAAAGAGTTAACATATGTAAAGTATTTAGAATAGTGTTTGGCACATAGTACAATATAGTAGCTTTAAATTTTATAATAATAATTATTATTTATATTTATCATCATCATCGTTTCTCTCCCTGACTCAGTTCTCTCTTGTATAGAATTACTGATGGCAACAACTTGGCCACCAATGCCTTTATGGGATCCTGTCTCATCTATTAGAAAAATGTTGATTAATTGCTAACAAACAAATAATCAGAGCCAAGAGGCCTGAAATAATTAACATGCCGCTGCAAGATCATCAATTTTCTGCTTTTTCACTGACAGAGATTCCTGTTTTTATATTTACAGAACTCTTATTTCTAAGGAGTAGAAGTTGAATGTACAATTCTTTTTATGTACTCATTTCAACAAATATGTCATTTCATCAATAGGACACCTGACATGATGTATAACTGAGGCAAACACCAGAAGACAAGGACCACAAAACAAATATTTATTTTTAGATTTTCAGGTCAGTAGAACATTTCCTGCTCTAGCTTTATCATTCAAAACTCTTCAAGATCACACTCCTCATGATCGGGTTCCCACATACCTGGTATCCTTCAAAGTAGGTTGAGATTTCCACAGGAACGTGAGCTCTAAGATAATTGTGTGGTTTATATATAGGTGAGGAATTTTTTTGTTGGGGGGGGGTCTTTTTTTTTTTTTAAAGAAAGGGACTGCATTTATATATTATTTTGTCATTTTCAACAGGAATGACTGACAGAGACCCAGCAGAAGCCTGCGTCCCTGACAACTTTGTGGAGCTATGGGATCAGCCCTGGTTTGCCCCTCCAGACCCCTTTTATCACAGAAGTAAACATCTGTTTTTCACTATTAATTTGGGTTTTGGTTGTACAATATAGTATAGAAAACAATAAAAGAGGATGTGTTCTCTTTATTGACAAAGGGGTTTAGAGCCACCGCAGCCTGGGCACTTCTATTTTTGACCCTCAGTCTTTTATGTAAAAGGCAAAAATGTTTATTGAGAGTTGACTTCATAGCCAGCATTGTAAGGAATTAAATCTAAGCATAAACTATGGCCTCTGACCTCAGGAAGCACGTGATCTATTCAGAAAGATGACCCTAAAACAGAGAGAGTAATTGAGAGGAGGCTTTATAGGAGTATGGGGCAATTATGGCTATAAAAATAGCTCTTCAGGATAATATATGCCAGGTACAAAAAAAGAGAAAGAGAGAATTGATTCATATGTCATTCTTTTTTTAAAGTGGTTAGCCAGTTATACAACTTATGAAGTGATTCCCCTTGAGAAGTCAAGTCATACATCATTCCTGATGCACTTCTGCCCTTAGAAGATACGAGACTGATGTTCTCAATGCTGGGATTGCCCTATTTACTGGGAAAGATAGAACCCGGCGATTGTAGAGGTCACTCCCCGCTCAAATATTCTGTGAGTACTGGTGACGCGGGATGCCTCGTGGACGCAGCTGATGTAGCTGCGTGGGGCGGGGAGGGCAGGGGAGGGCAAGAGGGGAAGACTGGGGCGACTGTAATAGAACAATAATAACAAAAATTATTTTAAAAGATGAAATTTAAACCCTAAGCCTAATCATATCCTCTTTTTTACTTTAATGCTACTTTCCAATATCTTCATTGTGTTAAAATGAAAGTATTGTTATGATTGTTTTTTCTCGATTCAAATACTTACTGACTGCCCAATTACGTCCAAAGCACATTCAGCAAAAATTTCTTCCAGCTAGAAGGGGGAGGAAGAGGAAAAGAAGACGAGGATGTGTAAAGGCCTCCCTTTCCTTTTTTCCTCTTTCTCCAGCAAATGGAGCTGAAAAAATATTTGTATTGTTTGTTTTATTTGTTGGAGGGAGATCTGTGCTCTTTCCTCTTCAGTTTAAAATTGAGTAGGACAGTTTATATTTATGTGAAACTATCTGTATAACCCTCACTTATGTGAGGCCCTTAGTTGACTTTTTCTGTGGGTCCAAGGTCCTCAGCGGAAAAATGCCCATCAGCAAAAACAGCTCTCTGTCGGGGGTAAAACCTGAAACTAATAAAATGGGCGACCAGTGCTGGGCGCGTGATGCCTCTCTGCCACCAGGTGGCAGCAAATCGTCCTGAAGAGGGACAGCAAACCCGTGCACAGCACCCAGACGGCACCTAGTGGGCAATTCTAGTGGCTGAAAATTCTACATAATCTAATTAACATTCAAAGGGCTTTCAGCTCTTGCTTGGAAAGAATTTTAGCTGTTGCTTAGGAGACATCTTATCTGAAGGAATCAAGGGTCATTCTGATATATGCAGCAATTAGAGAACTTTTGGCAACAACTATTTTTTTTAGCGACCCATCTCCTCGTTCAATTTTTTGAAATTGTTCAGCCCCAAGGACTGTATTAAAATAGTTCCTACAATTTACAACATTCGAAATGCTATATTTCCATTGCGAGGCTCTGCTCATTCCTAATTTAAGATGTGCAGGGTGTCCCTCATGGCGCTGATGTGCATACAGGAGAACGGCCTGAGTGGGGGCGGGGGGACGACTCGGGAGGCTCCCAGGGGACAGATGATCCTCAGAATCTTACGTTTGTAGCACAAATCTTATCATACCTTTTGTGATATTTCATTGTTTAAAATAGACAAAGTTTATATTACGTTCATAATACACACGAATGCTTAATGAGCTATTTGATTTTTTAATTTATAGAGCAGCGATTCTCGATCAGCTGTGATTTTGCCCCTTAGGGGACATTTAGCAGAGCCAGGAGACAGTTTTGGTTGTCACGAACGGGGAAGGGGGAAATGCTGATATCTAATAGGTAGAGAATTATCCAGAGATGCTGCTGAATGTCCCACAAGGCACAGGCCAGCTCCTGACTCCACCCCGTTCACACGCATGGCAAAGAATTACTGGGTTTAAAATTCTGAGAAACCCTGATTTAGTGGAGCTTCGAGGAAACCAGATACCTAACCCTCAAATACCAGAACCTTAACTACAGATAGTATTTTGACGTTACCAGGTGCCGAGCGCTAAGGGTTTTTCTGGAAATTCACTTAATTTCCCACAACAACCTGATCTTCTTGTCTCTCTTTTTACAAATGAAATCAAGGCTGTCAGGGCTGAGAAGACTTGCCCAGGGTTTTTCTGCTTGTAGCTGGGCGAACTAGCATTTAATCCTGGGCAGCCTGGCTTTGGAATCCTCGTGCTTGGCCATTATACAAACTGTCCTTCACATACAAATCAATACGTGAGCTGACACTCATCACCTGTATCGATGAACAAATGCAGCCCTTTGAAGGAAATACCCTCTGTGAGGATCCTTTCTATTTCCCTTTAGAGCTGCTCATTGTACAGTCTCTCTGCACATCTGGGCTTTTTGTTGTCGGTCACCGACTGTGAGGACGGAGACTGGGTATAACTGGATGGAGAAGGTGCTGAATAAAGGCTCTGTAATGAGTAAGTGAATGACTGGATGGATGGTACAGATGGGCTGGCCCACCTTTAAACATTATAGATTCCCACAGCCTCTCATTAGATATTGATTGCGTATTAAGAAACAAAAGATTCAGAAAGAACGCTTGACCCTCCCCCTTTCCCTGCCCAAGAGGCTTCAGACAGAGAAACCTGCTTCAGGAAGAATTTAGGATGCAGGCTTAGCCTAATTTGAATTAAGTATGGTCAACAAGAGGGCTTCAAGCAGACGCCTGTTAGCTAGACACCCTGTGTCCCATTGGTTCTGAGTCGTCTAGCAAGCGTTTTCCTGACATGTGTGTTCTGTTCTTCCTCAACTACCTTTATATCGCCCATTCTCACTTCTGAAATCTAATCCCTCCCTCCTTCTCCTTTGCCCAGAAGTGTCTTGTATACCCAATGTTGCATGTCTTTGGAATTTTCATGGGATGATCATGTCTATGTGAATTCCCTGTGCACATGTATTCAGCTTTGACTTTCTCCTATTAATCTCTCTCTGTTCATTTGATTATCAGCTCAGCCAGAAGAACCTAGAATGTGGGAGGAAAAGTATTAATACTTTTTAGCCCCCATATCTGAGTTGCTCACTATTAAATTCCCTGCACCTACAACTATACCGAATGAATGAACGAATGAATAAACAGAGTCGAAACTAGAGGGACCGAGGGGACAGGCGTGTCAGGACCACAGCCAGGCACATATGGATTCAGGTAATAGGACAGTTGGTTTCAAAGTTACAGCACTTAGTAAGTACTTAACTCTTAAGTTGGACCCAGTGGGCTCCTGAATGTGTACAAACCTGCTCTTTGCAGTACGGTCTGCAGGTAAAAGAACAAGGGTGGCAGGTGTTCCTGTAGCCATAGCCCTGCCCCTGTCCCTGTCCCCTCCCTAGCATCCCTTCCAAACCCAGTGGGGGCGTCGACAGCACCAGAAGGCCCAGGTGTGAGGGGCGGGTTCTCCCGGCTGCCTTCCCTGACTGCCCCCTGCTGCACAGCCCTGCCCACTTCATTCTCCCTCCCTCTCCCTCTTCTAGGGGTTATCGAAAGGCAAACGGATCAGGAGTTCACTTCTAAATAACAGCCTATATTTAAGTGTTTACTAAATGTTCATACTTTTATGAATAGCAAAAGCTGAACGGGTTGTAAAGATTTAAAATGCTCGACGATCAGTGCATGGAGGCCCAAAGAGGGAAAGGGCCCCAGGGCTCCAGAGCAGCAGAGTCAGATCTCAGACCGGATGCCTGAACTCCCACATCCTTGCTGCTTGGTCTGCAGCGATTTCAAAGGGGTCTGATGGGAAGAAGAAACATGGCAGCACTAAACTGATCTATCATGAGAATGAACTTTGTAGATCTTGTCCTAGTTCTAAATGTTCTGGTCCATTGCACAAGAAGGGCACTTGGACTTACCAGGTCTACACTACAAAAAGTGTAAGAAATTCTGTTAATCAGAAACTTAGGCAGAATCGAGACTCTAAGTCTGGTGCTTTATGTTCTGCTTCTACTCAGCCTTACACCAAATACGTTTGTTGTTATGAATACAGTCCTCCCACGTAAGGAAAGTGTTTTACATTTATTACCCAAGTAAGATATGGTTACATCTGATTTTGTCCATTTTGATATAAAATTGTTATTTCATGTCTACACATACAACATTTTATATGTATGAAATAAAGAAATTCTCTTTAAAATTCCCATATATGGGTAGTCTCAGGTCTCCCCTACCTTGGCAGCACCAGAACTGGCAGAAGAATCCACCCCATAAATTTTAAAGACTTCCTCAACTGGGATGCTGTTCTGTTAAACAACAACAACAAAATGCATTACCATATCATGGCTTCCCCTTTAGTACAAAACAAAGCTGTTGCAGATCCAGTTTGTCTAGCACTGTGCCTGTGAGGCATGGGCACTAAACAAATACCCTCTGAATATACTGATAAATCAAAATACCCAGCACCCAATTATTTATGCACTTCATTCTGGGATGTTTTTTTTTCTTTATTTTTTGCTCCTTAAATAAATGTTTTCACAATATAATATAGAAGTCAATGTCTTCTTATTATATCTTAGAAAAATGAAACATTTAATATTAGTTAATCTTGATCATTTATAAACATTGGTTTAAAAAGAAAATAAATATGCATTAATACCAAAATGTGCACAGAAAATATAACATATCCATATATGCAAATAATGTTCTTTTCCTTACCATTAGGATTCCAGCATAAGATGATAAAATCATTGCTTCTCTTTCTCTATGGTTTGGATATACGGGTCTGCCACAAAATGGCCTTTTCCTAAGGGGAAACACGAGTAAATAAGAATGAGGTGTTTATTCATATTGTGTCTGACACCTAAGGTTGTGATACTAATCTGTAAGTAATCTCCGGTGGCCATGGGCCGTGCACTTGTTTACAAAATTGATTATGATTAATCCGCCATCAGTAAAGAAGACACTTCGAGTTTTGAAACTTCCAACAGTGGTGATAAATTTGCCGTCATCTAGCCATGTTTTCTGAGCTATCACACATTGGCTGACTGGTCACTATGATGGACAATTATGGAATTGACAAGCAGATCCTTTCCCTTCTTGTGCAATTTGCTTGGGGAGAACTGCCTTATTCCCCTGTGAGCCCATGTGCTTCAAGGGAGCTGCAATACCCCTGGATTGCAAAGATTGGCAAACACACTGTGGACTAAGGTTGTCAGGCTATTCTACCCCTTATGCCACCCCTAGACAAGTCAGGGTAAATAGAGCTATTGAGACACTATTCTGTGATTAAGCAAAAAATCCCTTCCCCTCTGGACTGAATTTTGCAATAACGTTGACTGAAACTAAGAATAGTGCCTACCCAGAGGAAGAAAGCAAGAGGCAGATCTTGATGACATGGTTTGAGCTTTGATTTAAGCCCTGCCTCAGGCAGACCTACTCCTGGATTTTCAAACACAGAAGCAATAAATCTCCTCCCCCCCTCTTTCTTTTTCCCCTCAAGTCTTAAGTCTGCTCAGACCGGATTTTCTGCTTATTACAATTACACTCAGAACTGATACAGCCATCCAGGACCAGGTGTGTGTTCCAAGGCCATAAAACAGAAAGAACAGAAAAAAACAAAAGCTAAAAATTGGCCTCTAAAATAAACCATGTAGTTCTGGTCTCATTATCTTTGTGTTCTTACCAATTGAGTGTATCTTCCTGGCACACTCAATAATCCTGGAAAGGGAATTACTCTATGATTCAGACAGCTCAACTCAGGTACATATCTGTTTAAGTGCTTAAGAAGTTGTGTTTGAGCACTTATGAAACGCTTGCAGCCTTTACCCACAGAGGTGACCATCTTACAAACCATGGCCGGGTGCAGTAAAGCACAGTCCCATTTCTAAGGGAGAGCAGTCTAGGCAAGAAAGATTTTCATCTGAAAGAAACCAATTAGCGGAGATGTAACAAATACAAGGGCCATGTGTCTTCTCGAAGGTGACACTGCAGGGCTTCTTCAGCTCTCCGGTTGGAGAAGGATATTCCCCCTACTGTGTTTCCAAGCCAGAGTGCTCAAGGAGGAAGGCAGGAGATAGAACTTCCATTTTCGTTACTCATAGTCACACATTAGAAAAGCAAAAGTATTGCAACTTACACTTTCTCCCACTCCAGCCAAGTTAAGTCTTCTGAATGGTCCAGCCATTGCAAAGCAACGCTAATGGCCAAGTCATAGTGGGCCTGGAAGCAGGAAGCACAGAGAGCAAAGGAAGTGGCTTAAGTCTTAGCCAAAGTACTCCCTGGACCCAATGACAATGGCACCACTAAGTCTGTTCTGCTATTTTGTCCACAATGGTGAGGAGCATCATCTTTGTCCAGCAATGTGACGCTCAGACAGAAATCACTAGAGATCTTCAGGCATTGTATTTTCTTTCCACTAGAGCAGTTTCTACCACCCCCTCCCCGCCCCCTGTTTGTTTGCTTTTGGTTTGCATGAACCAATAAAGAAGGAACAGATTCTTGGAAAAGAATACTAAACTGGGAATCAGGGAATTTGGGCTCAAATTTAAATATGGCCAGCAACTTGTGGTACATCCTTAGGTGAGCAATGGATGTTCTCTGGGCCTCATTTTTTAAAATTTTAAAATAGAAAACAGTGAAAGTTAAGGAAGAAGGACCGGGAGAACAATTTCTAATTTTTTGAGTAAACTGACAGAAACGTGCTCCCAGGGCACAGGGGAAGTGGTGTGTCCACCGGGGAATCTTGGGAGGCTTCAGGGAGTAGATTTGGCAGAACTGGGACTTGAAGGGTGAGGAGAATTTCTGGAGGTGGAGAAGGACCTCCCAGGCGGAAAGTCCAGCATGAGCAATGGACTGAGGTAGACCTGACCAAGTGACCTGCTAAGAGTCTCCTATAGAAAGCTGAGGACCAATTCCAACGTCCATTGTTTTCCTCAGCCCCAGAAAAGGGAAGGTCAGTTTGGCTTTTGCATTTTTAGATGGGTTTTAAGGTTCTGTCTCACTCCAACATTCTCTAAAAAATGTAATTATTTCTATATCTTCCGCGTACTGAACCAAAAAAATTCAGTGAATTCACAGAAAAGTGAATTTAAAACAAAGAAGAAAAAAGAGAAAAGAAAACAATGAGCCACTATCAGTTGTTGAAACTTAATCTGAAGACTGGTGCATGGACAGGTAGTGCTGGCTTCACTCATTAAAAATGAAAATTTCCAGCCCCGCCCCCAGATCTCCTGAATCACAACGGGCTTGTAATAAGACCTCATTAAAGTTTGAGAAGCTATTATCTAATCGATTTAATTTCTCCATCTAACACATGCACAGGGAAGCACTTTAAACTGCTTATTCAGGTCCAGGGAAATCAGGCAGGGAGATGGGGAAAAGGGGCGAGAGAGCCTTTCTTCGTTACTAATGCCACAACGGTAAATGCGTAGCATAAAAAAGCTGAGGGATTACTAATTTCTTTTGAATTAGGTCTTTACAACAGTTTCTTCCTCAATTTATGTGAAATGAACTTTCATTACATAACAGGAGCCTGAGTGGCAACATGAATAACAGAAAGAATTTTAGGATTATTCAATTCTTTAGTTTGCTCCAGTAATGCAAGTGGTAAAAAACAAAACCAAACCAGTGTTATATTTGAGAACCACATAATAATTAATTTTGTCCAAAAAAAATTTTAACATCATGTGTAGTATTTGCTTTTGTACCCATTTTGCTTTTTAGGCTTTTCTAGTTGCAAATAGCAAAAGTGTCATGGCTTGTATTTTCCCATTCTTTTTGCTTTCAGTTTAAGGGGTTGAAAAGACCAAATGGAGAATGCTAGGATGAGAAGGTGAGAGAGGACGACCAGGGTGAGCCTCGTTTATTATCTACATTGGATCCTTGTGACGTCCCCTTCACACACATATAACACAGATGTGACTCGCACCCGCATGCCTTTCTTTACCATATCATCTAGAAAGGTGAGTTGCCTTCTTCCTTTGGGGTCAAATTCATTTTCCCGAAGTCTGATGCCAATATAATCTCCCCTTAAAAGCAAGAGAGCAGGATTGAACCATTGGGAATGACGCGGGGGCCCAGTCTGCAGAAGTGGGCACCTGCCCCGTCCCTCCCTCCTCTACCAGCTACAGGAGCAGTTACTGGCGGCTCTGGGAGATTTCCCATTCCTTTTTTTGTTTTTTGTTTGTTTGTTTTTTAATAGAGAACTATTTGGCTACTTTATTACCAGAATAACAGTATTTTGATTTAAATGCAATTCTGGCCCTGGCTGGTGCGGCTCAGTGGGTTGAGGGCATTGACCCACAACCGGAAGAGTCTCACGTTGGGTTATCCGTCAGGGCTCCTGCCTCGGTTGTGGGCTTGGGGGCGCGCGAGAGACAACCCATCGATGTTTCTCTGGCACATCCATGTTTCTCTCCCTCTCTTTCTCCCTCCTTTCCCCTCTATCTAAAAACCTTTAATAAATAAAATCTTTAAAAAATAAATAAATAAAGGGTAATCTTGCAATGCTTCAGTCTTAAAATGGCTCATCACAATTAACTTAAACCACATTTATCTAAAAATTAAACTCTTATTGTGGGCACAAAATTTATAGGAAAGCAAGGGCGTGTGTTAAATCCCCACATGCAGAAAGGGTTTTACCAAATGCAAGGGCGGAGGCCCACTGTTAAAATAAAGAATCTCTTGCTGCCCCTGTTAAACTCAGGCAGAATGTCCAAGGCTGATAAATTTTATATATACAGTATTCTGTACAGATGCATTCTTTGCCTAAAAGCATTTTTTTCATTAGAATGCAAATACCCTTAGGAGGAGTTATGCATTAAAATATATTAGTAATTGCAGTTTAGTGTATCCTTATCAGATCTTTCCAGAACAGTGGTTTTTAATAAGGTGAGGATAGAATAAGGAAGGGGAACAGAGTGGGTGCTCTTCTGGGAAAGTCAGGAAGAAGAACTGGATGCAGGAGACAGCACTCCGGGGTCCCTAAGGTCCGCCTCCACAAATCTCTCCTCTTTCCATAAGGCTACGCTTCTGCCTGCCAAGGTCTTTACCACATGCTTTGGGCAAGTGACCTTGTATCTGCCTTCTAAAGCTCTTCTGATTCATTAAGCTTGAACTGACAAAAATTCTTAAATGTTTTCTTTGTAATTCCAAGGTACTTTATTTAAAGTGCCATAAATGTATTGTTGGCTATAAAATTACATTTATATCACTTTTGAAATTCCAGTTCTAGGTGGAGGAATTCGCATTCCTGGTTATAGTTTGTTCTTTATTACATTGGACTCCAAACACATGCATGTAAACATGTGTGAATTCATACATAGTTTATTCCAGGGTTTTTCAAGGACTTGTTAAAAGATAATTATCTTAGGCTGAGAGAGGACATTTGATGAGGGTTGTGATAAGCTTTTGATGAAAAGGGTGTTATTGTTGTGCTTATAACTACATATGAAATAAGACATAGCCTTTTTCCCTCCTTTTTATATGGTCTGTTATTTCCACCAACCTCTTAATAAAGTACTAAGTCAAAGGAAATCTAGCACAGAAGAGAAAAAACTTGCCCGTGGGAAACTTTAGTATTTTCTTTGTTTGTTTAAAAATAAGAGTTCAGATGGCAAGGAGATGAATTAGTGAGTTGATCAGACTGACAATAGAAGAGGCAGAGGCTGCAATTCAAATGCTGGGCCACTGGGTACATTTTTCAGAAATCTCCCCTACATCTTTTCCCAGGAGAGCTCATTCAAAGGAGCAGGCTGCCCGGCACAGGCTGGCTGGGCTGCAGTCCCAGGTCTCAGGCTCTGGATCAGGGATGCCTCTGAGGAGCACGCGGGAGCACGCTGCTGGCAGAAACGTCTTCCAAGAGCTCCAGCATCTGGCTTTGCACCACATGTGCGGCCTCTCAGCCTGAGTCAGAGGCCAGATCATCAGGCACTTTTTTTTTTCCCAATAGTGCAGAAATAAAATCTCCCTTAGATTTTGACCCCCTTGCCAATATCCGACCATCGATGACATGAAACCCACCAAATGCTGAGTATATAAATGCAAGCTATTCTCACGCATACTTACAGGAGCTTCTTCATTTCCTTCTTCAGGAGCCTTCTTTCCATGATTAAAGACGTATTCAGCTGAGCAGGTACCTGCAGCTTACACTGCACCTGGTATCCGTGGAGAAGACACAGCCTCTGTGAGCCTACAAGCAGCAGCAGCAGCAAATCGGAGAGAATTTGAGTTAAGGATGCTATCACTCCAAATACCAGTCATGGAGTCCCAGGCTGTGGAAGGGATTCGAGAATGTGCAGAGCTCAGGCCTCTTATCCAGCAGCTTCCAGGTCAGAAAGCTGTCTGGAGGCCAGTGCACTGTACCTTGAGTGTATCTGACGCTTCTTTTTTCTTCCAAGTTTGTTCAACCCACATCATGTACATATCCTTGTAATAAACTAACAAGTAAAACAGACATGGCTTGTGTAATAGCAGATGAGACTATTTGGGGAGAACCATCCAAAAATGGATGGTTTGTGATCAGAACATGTTTGAGCTTTGTGCACATTCAACCCAGCCACCCCCAGTTACCTCACCCTGCTGCAATAGCTCATAATAGTTTTCTTCAGAAGCCATGTTCAACCTCTGATGGCCAGGGGACCCTTGAAAGAACATGTGGTTATGGCCAATGTGAGGCCATGTCTTTATTTTCTACCCCAACATTGAACCAGAAATTGGAGTTGGGGTGATGGGGTCAAACGGTTCTGAAGTCACTAAAAGAAGTTTAAAAATATATATATTATTATTGAATGGGAGCAGTATAAATGGCATATCAACTGTATCTGCAATGTTTTATTTCTAAAAAAAAGATTGAAAGAAGATTGTGATAATTCATATGTCAGCTTGGCTGGGCCACTGTTCTCAGATATTTGGTCGAACATTGTTCTAAATGTTTCTATGAAGGTATTTTATGATATTAACATTTACATCAATGGACTTGAGTAAAGCAGGTTACTCTCTATTACGTGGGTGGGCTGCATTCAGTCAGTTGAAGGACTTAAAAAACAACAACAAAGGCCGACCTCTCCCAAGCAAGAAGAAATTCGGCCAGCAGGCTGCCTTTGAACTTGATTTGTACCTCTTCCCTGAGTGCCCAGCCTGCCCGCCTCACCACATCAGGTTTTGAATGGCCCGTGCCACCCCAATCACGTTGTTCTCAGTGGAAATCAGGCTCTTCCACAGGGTCGTGAGGGAAGACTTCTGAGGACCCACGCAGGAGAGACCATGATGTGGCAAAATTTATTTGGGTGGAAATCTGCCCTCAGGTTTCCAGTTTTCCATCTTCCTCCATCCTGCCGTGGAAAACGTTGAACTGTGTCCTCAGCAAGGCCAAAGCAAAAGCCAGTGTCCAGGGTTTCTGGGTCATGTCAAAGCTTAGTTCTCCGAAGCCTACACAGTCTGTTGTGGGCCCCAGGAGCTGCTAGACCTGCCGTCACTTGCTCCTGGATGAGAGAGAATGCTCAAAAGCATGGGGCTGGTGCATGTCACAAGCAAGAAGGGGAGAGAGAGAGAGATTTCATGTTTCTCTCAAAAAAGAGAGAGTTTTTGATAGGCCCACTTCTTAGTTAGACTGACAGGCCTCTTCCATCAAACACTTCCTTTTGGGTCCCCCAACAATCCAACACTGGAGCGCAGAAAGGAGGGGTGTTAATCCCCTTTGTGGAGCAATGCTATGATCCCCTAGAGTATGAAGCTGTAGCTTCATGGTAAAGCAAACAGGCTCATGCTCCCCAATTTATTAAGCTCAATGTCAATTTCCTTTCCTTCTCTTTCTTATTTATAATTGGTTAACCCCCTATGGTAACAATGTGAGCCAATTTCTTAAACTAAAGCTCTGTGTGTGTGTGTGTGTGTGTGTGTGTGTGTGTGTGTGTGTGTATACCCTAAAGCTCTATGTGTGTGTATATATACCCACAGACACACACCCTTTTGGTTCTGTTTTTCTGGAGAACCCTGATTAATATAAGAAAAATGTTAATATTTGTTGACTTTGGGATTATAGGTTTATGGATATCCGTTATATTACATTTTGTGCTTTTGAAGTTACGCATGTTTTTAAATCACTACTCTACAAATAGTGGGGGAAAAACTTTAGACACCCTTTTTAAAAAATTGTAGCTTTATTGATTCAGCTCTCTGACCATAAGCAGAAAGCAAACAGGATGCCACTGATTTACCTAAATTCTTCACCAAAGCAATCGAATTACTTTAGACCATTCTTGCTGCTGCTACATCTGTCTTGGATGAGATGTGGAAAAGGTGAAAGGGGAGAAGAAAGCAGGAGCATTCAGCTGGAATGGATGAACCATTAAAACAGTGGTGTGCTCTCTACAGGACAGTAAATTCAGAGTGGATACTGCAAGCCAGAGAGGTGGCCTCATGGCCTAGAGAAAGAAAAGCACTAGACCTGGGACAGCCAGACACTGGGATGTAATGTCTACTGCACCAGCGACTACCGGCGTGGCCATGGTCAAGCCTCCTGGCTCTTCCACACCCCAGTTTCAGGTATTGTCTAAAAAATCATGAGCCTGGTTAACTTCACCAAGAACACCTTTTGCCCTAACATTGTGCAACTACACAGAAGATAGCATGCATTATCATTCTTCTAATTTAGAAGAATTAAAAAAACAACAACACACATTTGTTGGTTGAGCATTTGTCCTATCTCAATTCCTTGACGGGTGGTGGTGTATGAGTGTGTGTTGGGGGGAGTGGGGAGAAGGGGACCACTTAGCTTCTGTGTCTTTTTAAAAAGCTAAAGACTTAGTACTTGTTTTAATCCACTTTGTTTTGTCATCCTGAGCCAGCCCTTTGAACTTCAGACTCACAAATGACAAGATTTGCATCTCTTGGTTGCTGTGACAGCTTCTACTTAGACCCGCCTTCCCTCTCCCTTGCCGTTTAATGTGGCAAAACATGCAGAGGTTTAAGTCTTTAAAATATGAGCATCTCCCACCCCCACAGCATGAGGCTACAGGTCTGGGGACCCTGGGAGGCTACCAGCAAGCTGTGTCACCTTGGGTAAGTGAACTCTTCTCTCTGTGTTCTTGTGTTTTCTCCTCTATCAAAGAAGCATTGAATGGTTGGAGAGGTCTCTTCCAGCTGTTAGAGTTCAGTAACTGGCATGCATTGAGTAGCTATGCATGGTTGAAAGATGGCCATTTATAGAGACTCTATTCAGTTTAGATATGAATTCACCCTTCTTTTCTGTCTATAGAGCTTTAGCAAAAACAAGACTCTGGCTGGAAATACACACAGAAGAGCTCCTGGAAATGTGTCAGGCATGTCAGGCGTTAGCTATTTCATTAAAACCAGCCTCCTAGGAGACACAGCCCCCACATTCTCTAGGGATATGATGCCCTTAGGAATATCTGCACAGTCCCTTCAGGCCCCCCTGCCCCGCACCCCTACACCAGTGAGACGGGTCTCTCAGACTGTGTTCTATTGGTTCATCAGTTCTTAACAAATTTCCCTTTCAGAATCTCTTGCCAGCCAGGGGACTGAGTCCAGTGCTTTGGTCCTCTCTCTGCCTCTGGAGGCATGCGTGAGCTTCTGCTCTGGCTCTGCTCACAGACATCGGAAGAACATACTTTTTGACAGTTGCTAGGAAACAGTGACTGAATGAAAATAATTTGTTATTTAAATACACACCCAATGCCCCAAACAGGAGGGAAAAAAAGTTATTATGTTTAGGACAGGGTTGTGATGCTGACCTAGAGTTAAATTTTTTTTTTTTTTTTTTTTTTTTTTAACTCAAGCAGGTTCAGTTTCCCCATCTAAATGATTAATTAGAAAGCAGAGAGGATGTGAGAAATCTTCCTCCCACAGGGTTTTTTATAGCACTTGGCTGCAGACCCAGGAGTCAACTGGCCGAGCAAGGATTCCCGGGGAAGCCAGTGAACCTCTGGTTCCTTGCGCACTCAGAGTGCCCCCAAGCACTTCAGATGATTCTGCTTGATGACACCGGACACTGTGGAAACCCTGAAGAACCATCCTTTTGGTGCGAGCACCCCCTGCTCGGGCATTTGCCTCCTCATTCATAAACACACCCTCTCTTACTTAAAGATTGCTGATGGCTTCCGGTTGCTGGTAGAGCAAGATCTAGACTCCTAGCCATAGCCTGTAAACCAGTCTCCTCCATGACATGGACAGAGGCAGGGTGCTGTTCTGGTCCATCTAGGCCTGGGTTTCTGTTATCAAGACCACTCCAGCCTCATTTCCACTCTTCTCAACCAACAAATTCTCTTGGCTACCTGATAGCTCAGGTGTTCTGTGAGTGGCAGCCAAACTCTAGATTTGGATTTTTATAGATGAGTTGTTTATTCTACATGGACTTTATATTGCACCCAAAAGGTTTCAGGTTTTGTTTTTTGTTGAACTTGAAGTTTATACAATTTAAATTTCTTATTTCTTACAACTTAAGAAAAAGAATGCAAAATTGTGAACACAAAATTGAATGTTTACTTAGAACCATTAATCACCACAAGTTATAAATTTTAAAGAGCTAACAAATACTACAAACATTAAAAATGTAGAAAAATCTACAAAAGAATACTACAAAATTACATGTGTCAAATTAAAATTTGAAACCACGGATTTTTCATTTTTGTCTTGAGATAAGAAAATGGTATCCTTTATTAATATCTAGCTAACTACCTAGGGTTACCATTATAGTAAGCCATTAGACATTCTTTCAATGCAGAATTTTCTTTCTGGCATTTTACTACCATAAAGATTCCAGACTCCTTGCAACATTCAGTAAAATCTTGAACCTGTTCAGAGGCCTTTTTTCTTCTCATTATTTTAGGGATCAAAACATCTTTGTTGACATGTCTGAGATGCTGCTCTGCCAGGTGAAGTGCAATCTCTGTGGTGGAGCCTCTTTTAAGAAGATGCTTTTCTTATAAGAAGATTTTTCTTATGAGAAGGTACTGACACTCCCACCAAGGGAGGGAGGTAAAGTGTTTCTCCTCTTGTGTCTGGACAGTCTTATAATTATTGCAGATGTGAGACTGTATAACTTCTAAAACCAGGTCTTACAAGGCATACATGAACTCAACAATAAAAG